TTTTTTTTTTTTTTTTTTTTTTTTGAAAAGGTGGTCACCTTTGTTTCAAATAACGGAAATTCAAAAGAGGCCGGGGACCTCACAATTCAACCTGGATGAACGTACTGGGGCCATTACCCAGCTTCGGCAGAACTGGAAGCCGGGTCCAGTGTCCGATTTACTCACTCTGTTATCTCAAAGAAGCTTCTCAAAAAAATTCCCAATACGCGTAGTAAAAAGGTAGCAACCTAAAAAAGCGATTTCAAATGCATTTCCGAGCGTGAAGCACGAGAGCTGAGAAACCATCTATCCCTATGGGATTGCAATCTTAAATGTCTAAATTGACAGCACCCTTAACCTGTCCCCAATTCAAAATCCATGTTCTAAAAATCTGTAGCAAGCCTACGAGTCCAGCCTATGCGTGGCCAGAAAAGGTAAAACCGCCAATTGAAACTATAATAGCCTTGGTATGACTAAACCCTGATGAACAAAGCCAAAATTTGATAACAGATTGTGAACTAGAGAGGAATCTGGAAAGTTCCAGAAAAGGATTCGCCCAACTAGGAGATGAAGTAATTTCCACCGAAGGAAGATAGCACCGAAATACTGGCCCGACAGAGCAGGGAGTAGCCGTGTCGAGCCTGGGTTGCCGTGATGAGGTTTCCCACCTTGCACTCTTGGACCTCTGTAGGAACTGCCAAGTGAAAAAATACAAATAATATTCGCGGATGGGGTCTTTGATTTAGTTAGATGCTAGGCTACCAGAGTGGCCCGGGGTCACTTGCCCGGCCGGGCCAAAAACAATAAAAAAAACGAAAATAAAAATAAGAAAATATAAATATTATTTTTATTCTAAATTTGGTGAAGAATTTCAATGTAACCCTGAGGGAAAAGTTGTTTAGTTTATTTTTCTGCATAACATGCTTTTTTTTCAGATTTTTTGGATTTCTTTCTTTTTTTTTTTTTGCTGGGACCCTCCCTGGTTCTTGCACGGGCTGGCCACCCGGGACCCGGGCGGCCCGGCTGGTAGCCTAGGTTAGATGCAAATTTCCTTGTTTATTAGCTTTCTGTCTTCCAGGCACCCCAGATCTCAATGGGTACAACCCAAGTTTGCTCTCTTGACAGCTAAATGCTATTCAGTCGTGCCCTAGTAGGTCGGCAACGTTCCCACAACTATTAGGTCTCCCACCACCTCCTATAGTTCCGTTGCCTTCTACGAACAACCCCCAACCTTCCACATTTACCAACGAAAACTAAAGCCGAGAACCCGCAGTGGAGGTTCCTTGAAATAGCCTCTAGATTAGGTGAGATTAGGTGAGATAACTAGGCTACCGGAGTGGCCCGGGTCCACTTGCCCGGCCTGGCCAAAAATATATATATTAAAAAAATAAAAATTAATTTTCCATTTAGATTTTTATTTTAAATTTGGTAAAGAATTTCGATGTGACCCTAAGGCAAAAGTTGTTCGGTTTATTTTTCTGCATAACTTTATTTTTTTCGTTTTTTTTTTTTTTTTTTTTTTTKTTTGGCCTCGACCTTCCGTGGTCCTTGCACGGCCGGGCCGCCCGGGAAAATAAGGTGACCCGCGCGACTCGGCTGGCAGCCTAGTGAGATACACGCTACGAGCAATTTTTGGAATCACTATGTTATACGAGGGCTCAGATATGGGAATAGGAATGGAGGGTTGTCTGAATCCAACCTTGTGACCGGACGCAGAGTATGAGTAAAATACTGCACTACACAAGGGTTTGCATATCAGAATAACAAAGAGAGAATGCACCAAACGAAACATACGCCCAGATACTAATGACTAAATACCATCACGGTTGCCAGTGTGGCACCAAAGCACA